ACAAGTTTATTATAAGTAATTTTTTTTATTTTATAAGTATTTATAATTCAGTTTTTGTCTTATTAGTAGTATTTTTATTTAGATTTTTTTATACAAGTGAATCTTTGTTTTATAAGTAATTTTTTACTTATAAGTAATATTTGTAGTTATAAAATAATTTTTTAGTTATTGTATTTTTATTTGCAAGTTAGTTTTGAACAAAATATGCGAATTGAAAATAACTATTTTATAGAAAACAACAAATTTGGTGTGTCGAAAAATACTCCCCAAATTTTTGGATGGTTTAAAAATCACAAAAATCAATGTTCAGAAAAATTAATAAGCCGATTTTTCCAACCTTTCATAAATGATGTCACCAAAAAAGGGTAAAACTTAGTTGAAAAAAAAATCCCAAGTAGGCCATAAATTAATCCTTTCTTGTTTGCAAATTCTAATGGTTATCAAGTCCATTTATACTAGATCTAAACTGCTTTTGAAATGTCACTTCTGTTGACCCTCATCTCCCGTGTAAACAACTTTATTTGTAAGATGATGAGAAATTAGATACTAAAAAGCCAAGTTATCTGATACTGAAAAAATCAAATTATTGTTTATTAAAACAAACTCATAAGTTGTCATCTAAAAGCAAAAAAAATTGTAAACTTGTCTAAACAGAATTCAGCTTTCATTACTCTTCGTTCACAACATCTACCAACATATTTGAAGCTATATTGGTTCTCCATTCATTTGCATGCTCTCTTTGTTGTTCTTGAGTTTCAATAATATTTTCATCCTCTTCAATTACTGGTAATGATAATGTAGACGAATCTTCACTATCTGATTCAACAGAAAATTCATCAAAATGACACTCTCTACGAAGAAAATTATGCAATAAGTCAATTTCTTCTTACTAACGCATCATTTGGTAGTTTGGAATCCTGAGCTGAACCTTCCCATCCACTAAGGATATAAATGAATTCCGAATCAAAATTGCAAGCTGCTAATACATTTTGTGATATTGTTCAATGACGATTACAATAGTTGTTCATATCACGCCCTAATATCATAGCCGGTATGTGTGTGCCATCGATACCTCCAATACAATCCTAAAATAGACATAATATTTTAATGATTTATTTTATTATTATAATAATAAAATTTATGAATAATATATTATAATTTACCTTAAAATAAGGATAAAATATTGTACTTTCTCTTATTTTGCTTGGCACTATAGATCCAGGCTTGACCATCATATCAGGTAATTGTGTTCAAAGCCTTTAAAATTTTGTTGAAATTTCTGCTAGATGTGGAATGTGCTCAACCAAAGATCTTTCGAGTGAGACAATATCGAGAGTTCTGACCAACTGTAAGTAAGAATGTTGCAAGCATTTCTTCAACACATATATATCGTGTATCCCGCAGATGTGTTTTTTCTCTTATGATATTGAAAAGCTTTAAAAACACATTTGGATACATCCTATGTATCTGTCTGAAGATTTCAGGATCTTCTTTCATTACCTTATGAATATAATCATATCCAACTGTAGTGATTGATCGCCGAAGTGGGTGTTCTATGTATTCACCATTCATGATAATCATCAACTCATTTAATACTTGAAGTATTGCTTGAAGGGCCATTAAAACAAACTTGATATTTTCATCAAATCTTTCCTCAGTTTCTTGTCGTGTTCGTTCTTCCATTTCTTCTTCCATCTAGAATACATGGTTCTTACAATTTAGAAATTCACACTACAAAATATATACATACATAACTGATTATAATAAAAAAAATAAAAATTTTAATTCTACAAACATTTAACATCAACTATGTTATTTGTATATACCAAACCTGTTCGGAGTGAAATTAAAATTTAACAAAATAACTCAAATCAAAGTTTAAGCAAAGTTACCAACCCAATCAAAGTTTCAACAAAGTACTCAAAAACCACATTATCCTAATAAATTCAAAGCATTAAACATTGACTCAAATAAAAACTTATTCCACATTATATTTTATCCATTCCCAATGCTCTTCATGTGACATTTTCAAAAAGGCATCTTTCAATCTAAACTTATGAATGAAAGCTGGTGCTTTGTAGCGAGTGCAATTATCCAAATTAGGAGTCTCTTTAATAGCATCCCATATATTGTTCTCGTGCTCTATTTCCTTTTTCTCTCTATCTCTTTCCCTTTTCTCCAGTAACTTAAACATTTCTGGAATGTCAGTTGCAATTCCAGTAATAGAATCCATGCCATGAGAAATCTTTTCTTGAACATCAGCTCGGGTCATGGTATCAATTGAGCTAGAATTCTCATGTTGAGTTCTAGTTCGCTTTCTATGGCCATTATTTTCTATAGGAAATTCCTTGTTAGTTTCCATAGTAGGTGGGAAAGACATATAATTATTAGATGATGGAGCATTGGTTGACTCATCCTGTTGAGTTTGTATGTATGCCTCTTGACTCTCATCGAACACAGTCATCTATTGTAACATGCTTGTTTTCTTCGACACCATATATTCTTGCATCTGATTCATCACCTAAACTAATTGAGTTTCTCCCTGTAGCAGTAGCATTGCCAATTGCTATTCTTAAGTCTTCATAGTCAGGAAAGGTGTCGGTACGAAGGTGCCTCTGTTTTGGATGGTTCTGTCAAAGAACAAATATAGGATCTATCTATAGAGTGAAAATAGGATCTACTTGAGACTTGTTAATAGTGTTTTATTAATTTAGAGAGTAGGCATCTTCATCTCCTCCCCCTACTCATCTTCCTGTTATGGCATCCCAAAATCTCTTACTTTGAAGTGTTTTAAAGCAAGATATTCATACTTTGGAATATGAGTTGCAACATTTATTATATCGACTTTTAAATTTTAGCCCGTGCACGAAAAATTCCTATTTCTGAATGACTACAGTATTGCTCATTTACTACATTTAGTTATTATATTTAATGCATTGAGATGAAAAAAAAATGATAATAATAATAATAATAATAATAATAATAATAATAATAATAATAATAATAATAATAATAATAATAATAATAATAATAATAATTAATTGATTTATTAATTTAACTAGAGGACAATGTTTGGAAGGTTTTTTCTTCTTCTAGGAAGAAGCGTGGAATTCAGCGATGATGTTGAGTTGCGCAATGGTTCTATTTGCACCAAGAATTGGAGCCTATTTCGTTTTTGGAAAAATACTGATATTGCAATCTATTACTGATCTTTAGAAAAATTACTCAACTGTCTTTGTTTGTTTGGTTTATGATCGGAAGAAGATCTATCAATAGACTCTCAAATTGATTCTTGTTTAGCACCCGAAATAGATATCTTCACAAATACCATGTGAGAATGAGGTAGATACCTGTGTATGTGTAGGAAATTACAACCCTAAATTGCTACATCCTGTACTATCTGAAACATTTGTTACCATGTTGTCGACGTAGGAGCCCAACCCTTTGAAAAATGATATCCTTGACACCCGGTATGAGTGCTAAACATTAATCTGTAAACACAACCTATCACGTAATAAATAGATGTTAAAACCAGGTTGAATACTATGTGTTTTTGGTCCAGTAACCAAATATATTGTGGAAAGGGCTATACAAATCTTTCTCATGTTAACTTTTCATCATTCTCTCTTAAACATGCATTGTCCGGCTAATTATAATGTTACACTATGTAAAACATCTTTGAAGTTTCATAATATTAGCTTAATGTTGTCCAAAGTAAAGACACCTATTTGATCAACGAATTTATTCTCGTATGTTTACCTTTAGATCTATAATTGTACCTAGCACCTATCCTGGTGTCCAAGCATCAAAGAAAATGTCTACTGTCACACATCTTCAACATGATTACAGTATCTCTTGCTGATATCTACCACATGTTGCAAAATTTTCCAACATAGCCCAACCTCTCCATGAAGTTTTAACCATCCATGTGTCACCACTTGCATATACTTTCTAAACAAAACCAGTGACTTGTTTTGATATATCACTAAGTCCATGTACCTTTACATTATTTTCTAGACACTAAGAACTCACCTTGAACGCCTCTACTTAGAGTACATTAACCTAGCGTAAGGCAATACTCGACCCCGACCTCTGGCACCCAAAATTCTTCGTAATAACATGTAGTGGTCAAGATCGAGTCTGCTGCTCATCATAACTCGAGCTACTTGGCCTATTATCGGCCTCGTAACACGTCTCGGGCTCATTACAAAACGTCACTCAAGTTACTTGGCCAACTTACCAAGTTACACGTCTCGAAGTGATTACAAAATAAGACTCAAGCTACTGGGCAAAAATCAATCAAGCAACACGCCTCGAGCTCAT